TGGTGTCGGTGGAGAAGCCCCGGGCGGGGCAGACGGTGGAGACAGAGAAGGTCCTGGACATCATCTCCCAGCCGCAGGCGGTGTTCAGGGTGCGGGCGGTGACCCGCTGCACCAGCTCCCTGGAGGGACACACCGAGGCCGTCATCTCTGTGGCCTTCAGCCCTACGGGAAAGTACGAGGGTCTGGCTGCGGGAGGGGGGCTCAGCGGGAGGCGGGGTATGGGGGTGTCCCGGGAGGGCAGCTCCTGCTCCCCCTCCCTCAGGGACCCCCTGCCTGCACAGGGAGACAAACAGAGCTCTGCCGGAGCCGCACAGGCTGGGGCCGTGGCTCAGGGAGGGAGCAGCTCTCCTTCACTAATGAAGCAGAGGAGGAGGGTCTGGGCGGGAAGAACATGGAGGGTTCCCTCGCCTCCAGTCCTGCTGTGGAATGGCTGCATGCTGGGACACCGGTGACAGATGGTCACGGCTCTCCACTCATGCCCGCTCTTGCTCTCCTTGCCAGGTCACCGGCACTGGGTGCTCAGCATCGCCTGGTCGCCCGACGGCAAGAAACTGGCCTCAGGCTGCAAGAACAGCCAGGTACACATTGGCTCCATGCTCCCTCGGTGCGGGGCCAGGTGCCCCGACAGCCGCGCAGGGGGGGGTCTGTGGGAGCGCAGAGACCCTCAACAGCCCTGTTCTGAAGTGAAATGAAAGCTGGTAAAGGGGCTGTGGGGGATTAGGGGCAAAGACTTGTTCTTTCTGGGACGTGAAGGGTGTATATAGTTGTTCTGAGCAGGGTTCCTGTTCCCCAGAGGAGCTTTGCATGTGGATGTGTCGCGGTAGTTGCAGGTAGCATCTCTGAATTCTGCTGGGCAGTGCTCTGGCTTTGTTGCCTTGGTGGACCTTTTGCCACTGAGCCCTGCTGTCTTGTGGCAGACGCTTTTCCATCAGCGCAGGAAAGAGTCCGGGCTTTGGACGTGGTCCTTGGCAGACGGCTCCATCACGAGGGAGGTGTCTGGAGCGAGAAGGGGTATCGCCTGGCTAAGCCAGGGCTGCTGTTTGCATGACCCGGCCGTACAGCGGCAGTCTGTTCCGCAGCACTCCCGCGCAGACACAGCCAAATTCCCTCTTACAGGAATGCAAAGAGGGTCCCGGCTGTGGGGCAAGATGTGCGCACTTAAGGTGCACGCAGAAATGCTTGGGGAAGCAGGAGCGCTCATGGGCGATTAAAAGCAAGTCAGTAACTCGCTGAGCTGCAGAGGGGTAGTCGCTCACTCTGACCTTCGAACACTCTGAGAGCAACGAGAGCGGCCATGGAGCTGCCGGGTGCTGCTGTCCCGCACTTGGTTTCCGAGTGGTCGCTCCATCAGGCCGCTGTGATACCAACCCCAACGATACGGGCCAGGCCGGGGTGGCTCTGCCCTGGTTTGGTGCTGTTCTGGCTTTAGTCTAACCCAGGGAGCTGCTTGTCCTCTGTTTCCCTGTTTCTCCCAGGTTCTGAAGTAGGAGATGACTAATGCCTTGGCTCTTCAGATGAACATTTATGTAGAGAGAGAAAAAACAAGAGAAAACCAGCATGTGTCCCACCCACAGAATCCGATAATAAGTAGCGTTTAGTGTGCTCTGGCTTTCCTCGTGCTCTGCAAACATTCACTAACTCCCTGGCACAGAATGTCAAAGGCTCAGGCTGGCTTTTTGGGGACCTGGATCGGTTTTATGTTGAGGCAGATATTTTTGTAGCAGCGGCATTTTAGGCAGAGAGGAGGGCGATCAGGTCTCGTTCTTTGAGATGCCAGCTGATTGCTGCAGGGATCTGGAAAGGCATCCAGCCCTCCTGCCCCCCTCCCTTTCTGCTCCCTGCCAATGCAACCCCAAGGACGCTTCTCCTTTCTAAACGGAGCCTGAATGTCCCTGGGATTCACATGATGTGTGTGGCCTGACGTGACCCTCTTGCTTCCTCTCTTGGACAGATATTTCTCTGGGACCCAGCCACCGGCAATCAGATCGGCCGGGTGCTCACTGGCCACTCCAAATGGATCACGTGTCTGTGCTGGGAACCGCTCCACATGTAAGTGAAGAGCCAGCCCAGCCCTGCCCTTCCCCTTTACTCATATGGAAAAGAGCAGCCTGACCCGAAGGGCACTGCTCCTCTTTGCCTTTCTCCCGTTATGGTGCGCAGAGGGGGGTACATGCGGGAGAACAGCTCCCAGGGTGGGCCGGGAAAAATGCATCTAGCTCGGAGCCCGGAGTCCCAGCTGCTGCTCGCAGTCCCCGTAAGGGTGCTGGGGAAGTCACCGCCGGGCTGTGCCTCTGTTTTCCTCTGTGTGAAAGGGGAATGAAAAACTTGGCTATGAAAAACACTTAATGTTTTTGTGGTGCTGGACAAATATTTGATACGCCTCTCCCCAGCGTGCTGAGCTGGGAGCAGGAAAGCCTGCCCGCGTGGTACCCGAGCTCAGGCTCTGCAGAGCGCTCCCTTTCTGCTCTCCTGCATCCCCGTTGCCTCTGTCATCCGGTTTATTTATCATGAGGGCTTATTAACTGTGCAGCCCCCTTATCCCTTCAGTAAGCTCCAGCTGGGAAAGATGGGTGGAAAAGGGACAGTTGTGGCCAATAATCTAAGACATGTTAGAAATAAATAAATAAATAGAAAAAAACAGGGCACCTTCAGAGCAGAGCCCTGCAAATTGAATTTGCCAGTAGGAAACTCCAGCTATTTGCAAACAATTAACTGGGTTAGCAAAAACTGATTATAAAGGAGGATGAGGAAATGGAGAGGAGGGAGTTGACCCTGCCAGGACTCCGCTTCTCTGTCTCCAGCCAGCTGCACTACCCACTCGGTTCCTGCGCAACAGAAGAGGTCCGTGCTCTTCCTCACTGCTGTGGGTGCCAGGGACTGCTTTCTTTGACGTTAAAATGGTGTTGAGTGATAAAGATGTGCAAAGGACAGAGGGCTGCGGTTCCCCTGTCCTTGCTGGGTTGTGGCCAGCTGCTTCCATATGTATTGATTTGCCGGGTGGATGGACGTTGCTGCTTTCGGTCCTGCCAGCGCAGCAGTGCTCTGTCCGCAGGCCGGCACGTTTCCTGCCGGAGGTGAAGCGTGGCATAGGCAGGGGAGCATTCAACACGTTCCCATTGCTGCCGCTCTGTGCTGGCTGTGTAAGGCAGTGTGATCCCCTTACCCGGGGTTGTCCCCAGGCCGGTGCCCGGGGAAGGTGCCAGTTTGTGGTCCCCTCGTTAGCCAGTGGGTTAAAGCTGCCTCCTGTGAAAACAAGGTCATTGCCAAAGGCTCAGGTGCCCGGTTTACCCTGGATTGATTCCTCCAGTGTGCAGCCCATGAGTCGGTTTGGAGGGAAGCATCTGTCTGCCTCTCCCCTTCCATGTGGATCTTGTTCTCTGTAGGTCAGTGCTCTGCCCCTGCCCAGCCTCTCTCTGAACTTAAGCCAAAAGAGGTAGTTTTATTTTATTTTTGTTTATTGACTTCTGGACTCTTGAATCCTCCGGGGCTGACGGGGAGAGCTTGGTGGAGGAGCTGCGTATGCTGTGCAAATGGATTTGATCTTCTTCTTGCCCAGAAACCCGGAGTGCCGCTACCTGGCAAGTGCCTCCAAGGATGGCAGCATCCGCATCTGGGACACACTGATGGGCAGGTGTGACAAAATCCTCACGAGCCACACGCAGTCGGTGACGTGTGTGAAGTGGGGGGGCGATGGCTTGCTCTACTCCTCCTCCCAGGACAGGACCATCAAAGTCTGGAGGAGCCAGGACGTAAGTGAGGCAGGCAGCCCTGGGGCTGCTGGTGAAGGGGCTGGACGTGCTGTGTTGTAGCTTTGTCTGCTCTTCCTGGCACAGCTTGTGCCCTGGAAAATGGAGGTCCAGAGTGGGTGCTGTATCTCTTGACCTGTCAGAGCCTGTTGCTTGACACCATTTGGAAGGGGTAGCCGTTGTGCAATGTTTTCATCCCTAAAGCGTAAGATGGGGCTAAAAGCTGGAAACATCCCTGGAGCAACCTGTGCTGGTGGGTTCCTTGCAAGGCCCTGCAGGACACTGGTTCCTGAAGCTCAACAGTGTTGTTTGTTCCCTGCTAAGCCTGGCTACATCCTGCCTGCAGCTTGGGCAAGAGGGTTTGGAAAGTTTAGGGTTGGTCCTCACAGCCCAATGGGTCTGGTGGGTCCTGTGCAGTCTGGCTCTGTCTTGCCCATCCCTCTCAAAGTGGGTGGTTTTTTTTTTTTTCAGGGGGTCCTCTGCCGCACCTTGCAGGGCCATGCTCACTGGGTGAACACCATGGCCCTTAGCACCGACTATGTTCTCCGCACCGGTGCCTTTGAACCTGCTGAAGCCACCATCAACCCACAGGATGTAAACGGCTCCTGTAAGTGCAGCACGTGTGTTGTAGGTGGAGGGAGGCGGCGGAGGGAGGCTAGCAAGGAGACCTGATGTCTCTTCTCAATGCTGTCATCAGCCAAAGCAATCTTGAGAGCTAGGACCAGGCCCTGTGCCAGTGTCGGTCATGCTGGCAGCCGTGATCTTCCTTGCCCCATGAACAGGGTCGAGCGGTCTGGGGGATGGGAAAGCCACTCTGTTTTCAAGGGCTTTTGCTCCCAGGATTGCCCTTGGCAAAGAGGGAGTGGGTGAGCAGTTACAAATGCATCTGCTTGGCCCACGGAGCCAGGATTAGAATTGCCATCACAGGGTTATAAAGTTGCCTTTCACCTAAGGATTGCAAATCTCTATTTCCTTCCCCTTTCCCTCTTTCAGTGGTTGAACTGAAGCAAAAGGCACAGCAGAGGTATGACCAAGTCAGGGTAAGTCCCTTTTGTCCCTACTGTCATTTCTAATGCTATTACTGGTGGAAGCAGTAAACACGCACAGCTGGCTGTTGACCGCAACACTGGTGTGCTTCCGAGCTCTCCACACCTGGCTTGTACAGGACTTGGGCTCTTCCATCCCTTTCTCAGGGTCAGGAACCAGAAAGGCTCGTCTCAGGGTCAGATGATTTCACGCTGTTTCTTTGGAGACCAGCAGAAGACAAGAAGCCACTGGAGAGAATGACAGGCCACCAGGCATTGATTAACCAAGTCCTCTTCTCACCAGACACCCGGATAATAGCCAGTGCTTCCTTTGACAAGTCCATAAAGCTCTGGGATGGTAGGACAGGAAAGTGAGTTGGTTTGTTCTGTTACAGAGGTGGTGCTTGTATGGGGTCTGCCTGAAATGCGCAGGGTACATGGAGATGGGCCCCGATGTCACTGCCAGCAGCTCCCTGGTGGGTTCAGCATCTCTGTAGCCTGAGCTCATGCAAAGTAATTTTGCTGCATCTGTCTCTCTCTGGTGTTGGGATGTCCCTTGTCCGACTGTTCTTTTGTTACAAGGTCTCTGCTTGGCCGGGTGTGTGCAACCCCACTGTCACCCAGCCACAGCGCTACCTGGCGCCCGTGTGGCACCTGCTGCAGGGTTCATTCTCCAGGCCTGGCGCAGCTGTGGTGGGATGGGATGTTCCACTTGGCTGATCTCCTGAAGACGTGTGCTTTGCACACTGTAGACTGACCCAGTTTAAACGGTTCCTGTGCCAGAGAACAGCTTGTTCTGGACAATGCAAATTCTTGTAGTTACGAGTGGTGCTGTTGGCGTTTGTGTGCTCCTGTAGTCCAGCTTTAAACCTTCAGCTAGAGTGTTGGTGAGCCCTCTGGGGCAGCAGTCCTTCCCTATAAATCAGTCTTTATACTGATGATCTTGGGTTTCCTGTCGGTAATTTTAACAGTCCTTCTAAATCCAGGCTGCTCAGACAGAGAGAGGAATGACACATCTGTACAGTAAGGCTGTAATGTTGCCTGCTGGATAAGGGTTTCTTGGCAGAGGAGCTGAGATGAAGAGCTGTCCTCCAGAAGGCTCTGAGCCCATCTAGGAGGGTTTTTAGACAGACCGAACCACCTATGGATTCCATGTAGCAATTGACTGCCTTGCATGTGTTGGCATGGGGTGTGCTGGGCATCCCATGACTGTTTGCTTGATGATAGGTGGGGAAGAAACATGAAGGTTGGGCAAGGGCAGGTTTGGAACAAACCGAGCTGCCTGCTCCTCTAACAGCTTCTCCATGCCTCTTTTGCCCCAGGTACCTGACGTCACTGAGAGGGCACGTCTCAGCTGTGTATCAGATTGCCTGGTCAGCTGACAGCCGCTTGCTGGTGAGCGGGAGCAGTGACAGCACACTGAAGGTCTGGGATGCCAAGGTGAAGAAACTGGCCATCGATCTTCCTGGCCATGCAGACGAGGTGAGGTGTCTGGTGGAGCTGAGGTGTTTGAGAGAGGGTGTATGCAACGGATTGGAGCCCAGATGGACAGAGGGTAGCGAGCGGAGGGAAGGATAAGTGTTTGCGGATGTAAGTAACCTGTCCATAGAGGTTGTCACAGCTACTCCATGTGTCCTTCAGAGCTGCAGTCGAGACCTGCACAGTCAGGACATGATCTCTGCTTGCAGAGAGCACAGTGCTGGGCCAAATTCCAGTCTGGAGACCTGACCTCCCTCGGGGCAGGAACCACTGCTGTCCCCTGGGAGATGACTAGAAAGCAGAGTCCCTCCAACTGAGTCAAATTTCACCACTGACTGCTCAGATGTTTTGGCTCCTGGAGAGGAGAAGCAGTTGCACCAGTCGGTCAGACCCTTCCTTTCTCACCTTCCTCCATTTCCCAGTTATGCAGACAGACAAATTCCTGTGAGCTGGTTGCCATTTGACCACAGCTGATGAAGGAACCCGGTCCTGAGGTCCTTGCTGTGCTGTTCTTGTGTGGTACCTGCTGGGCCATGTGGCAGCGCTGGTGCTGGACCACAGGGACACAGCAGCTCTTTCTGTTTGCAGATGGCGTCGATAGGAGCAGTGGCACGAAGCCGCCAGTCCCATCCTAAGCTGGCCTGCCCTGGGCACAGTCTGCCTAGAAGATCTGCGAGGCGACGGATGACAGGCTGACCCGAGCACGACTCCCTGGTCCTCTTGGCTGCTCTCCCTCATGGACTCGTTCCTTATATTTATTTAAGGAAATTTTAATTCCAGTTCTTATTAAGAACTGTTATTTGCAGGCTGATTTCCTCTGAACATTACAAGAGGGATATCTCATCTGCCTCCATCTCAACTGGCTTTTTATTGAAATTTCAGCCTTAGAGTAGCCTGCCCCTTTGAAGAGGCAAGCGAAGGGTGGGGACAGCTCGTGCCCTTCCCTGCCGTGTGAAGAATCCTGCAGGGAAGAGGCTTTTAGTGGGAACAGAAAGAGTTGTCCTTGTGTGACCTTCAGAGAGGGAGAGAGGAAGGGGAAAATTCAGCACATCGGTACATTGCAGAATTGTGCTCGGCTGCACGCCTGGGACAAAGATCTGCTGAGAATAAGGTCTCAGGGCTTCTTGTTATTCCAGTAAGGTTTTGCCTTTCCACTCAGCCCATTTCCCTGTGGGCTGTGCTAACGTTATGTGTTAGTGATCTTCTGCATCCACAGCAGGTAACTCATTCACTCATCCACTCAGCGTGCAACAGGCACAGACTTCAAACAACTGGTAGAGCTGTGCTGAGTTTTCAGGTCTCAGTAGCTCTTGGAAATGGGGAAATGAGGCACTTGTGCCTCTGAACAGGGGGAGAGAGTGCCCATTTCCCATCCTCTGTCAGCTCAGAGGAAGGAAGGAAGGGGTGGGGAAGGGGAAGAACGGAGCAGGCATTTTGGGTGGTGTTTGTCTCTTGCCCTGGATACGTGCTGTCGGCAGGGCTGAGACTGTTGCACTAAATGGCAAAACTTCCACTGCAGAGTTGGCTCCTTCTGGAATTTCTCCAGTGCATTTACTTGCCCAGTGGGTGAGAGGGATTCACACCGAGTAACATATTTGTAAGCTTGCTTATGAGCCTTTTTTAAAGTCAGTTCAGGTTTCCAACAGTCATGAGGCAAATGGATCTGGATTTAGTGTTTGTTTCCAGAATGATTACAAAACTGTGAAATCAAGATGTGATTAATAAGGAATAGTGATTATATTGTCAGATTTAGTAGCAGCAAGCTAGTGTGAAGGCCAAAACATTCTCCATAGCCCTCATATGCACTTGGTACTCAGTGATTACTACAACTCGGAACTGGCGTTTGGGTCTCAGATGCTTCCCAGCTGCTGAAGATGCATTTTAGGACTTTATTCCTGTTGGAGGGGATGGTGCAGTAATGGCCATTTGCTTGTCTGCAAGTGTTCAGGTGAGCAAAGGACTGGAACAAAGGGTTAAATCTTTAAAACGACTGAGAACAAATTGCAGTTCCTGTCCTTAGTATCTCTCTCTGCCATCCAAATCCGTAGGCTCCATCTTCATGGGATCTTTTGGGAAGAACTCAATATCCTGTACCTGCTCTTTCATTAATGTGCTTCTTCCAGCTGGTTCTTGCTGATGGTGAAGGCCACGTTGTGCCCATCTGCATAAACAAAACCTTTTGTAATTCACTAAGGTAAATGTGGTGGGACAGGGTGATTTAAAACTGTAGCTGATAATTCTGCCTCTCCAGACTTCTGTGCCCTTGGGAAGGAGAGGAGCACATGTGCAGCTGACAGATCTCTGGTAACAGCCAAGAAGCCCACCCATTTTGCAAGTTTTTTGGGCTGCCAGTGCTAAAGGAAACCATCCACCCTTGGGAGTTCAGCTCTGTCTCTGTCCCCGGGTTTGACTTGCTGAAAGCAGCAGCTTCTGCAGCTCCTGGTATTATGGCTCCTTCCAAGGGAAGAGTCATTGTTCTCTGCTTCCTCGCCCAAAGTGCTGTATGGGGTCCCTGTGCCCCATTAATCCACGCTGTGTTTTGTGTTAGAAGTGAGGATGTATCAGAGCCAAGGGAAGTGATCCTGCCTGCAGGGACTGGCTTGGCCATGCCTGTGTGTATGTGCACCTAAAGACCACTTCCTCGTCCACTGATTTCCAAAGCAAAGCAATCACTGTGCCTTCTGGCCGTGCTCCTAACCTAGGCTAGCTCCTGCCGCCCATTCAGACTCTGCTTCTGTGATATTCAGCACTGAACAGAGCCTGATTAAAAGCCCACCTTCCTAATGCTGGAGCAGAAAGCTTTTCCAAAGCAAAGTGAGACCTTGAAGAAAGAAAGGGCCTTGCAACTCAGTTTACACCAAAAGAAGCTACCTCAGCCTTAATCTTTCTGTGACCTGATAGCGGGTAGATTTTGAACCATGCTATGTGATGGGTTTGCACGGGTACCAAATCGTATTTTCCTCTCTAAGCAGCTGCTACTATTTTTATCATTCATACAGTACCAGCCTTCATGCATACTAAGTGCTGGCCATGTTCCAGCTGTATTCCTAAGCAATCCCATAACACTCCCAGTTTGATTTGAATGCAGCATTTCCCGGGCCTCGCTCTGCAGTCTCCTGCATGCTCTTGTGCTGAGGAAGAGCTGCTGCCCTTTGCTTTGGGACTGGCTCCTTTTTGGCAGCAGGCAAAGTGAACATGCAACCTCCCTCACTCTCCTGGTGATGGTGATGTGAGCTTTAATTAGCTAATTTTTAGAATTGCAGCTGCAGATTTGGGTCGATGGTGTTACTAATGGGGAAGACACTACTTTTTGTTAAAGGACAAATCTAGAAGGTAGGCTGGAGTGTGCTGGTTGCTTTTCCGGGAACCGCATCGCTAACCTTACAAGAAACCTACTGAAACTCGTGAATTTTTACAATGCAATGTGATGGGAATCTCAGTATCCGCTGCTGTTTCAATCCAGTTTCACCCAAGTTACTCATTCAAGTGTACCACACAGGTATGCCTACCACAAGGGAATTATTTTTCACTGGTAATACAAGAATAATTTTAAGTGTATCTGGAAACTGTCCTGCGGAGCCCTCTGACACTTTCTCCTTTAAAACCTGTGATAGCTCAGCTGATGCCACCGTTAATTTTGTTACAAATCCCTAATGGAAGGACCGTGATGATAAGGACTGGGAAACATGCCAGTCCTCCGAGAAAGGTTTACCTGGCTCATACACTCGAGTGCACCCTCAGCAAGTTTGCAGATGACACCAAGCTGGGTGTACTCAGACAAGCAACCTGGAACGTGCTAATTCCTTCCCAGGTCTGTTGCTCCTGTTATCATGAGTCCTGGCTCACATCTGAGGGACTAATTTGGCTGAACCAATGTAGTGCAGCTGGGAGAGAGCCACAAATCCATCTCCAGTGCTGTTTTTCTGTGTTTTCTTCACTCTGACCCTGCAAATTGGTGGTCCTTGCTGGGCTGCAGGTTGCTGGTGGTCTCTACCAGTGGGCTGCAGCTCTTGCACAGTACGATGCTAAAAATAAATAAACTCAGCACATGGCACTCTGTGATTTTGAAGGATCGCTGTTGGTCAGTTAGACATGGTACTAGTGCTCGTTGCCCAGCTCTGCGTTTTGAGTGCACTGAGTATTTTGTTGTCATGCTGCGTGGCTGGTCAGAGCAGAGCAGTGCATCCCTCCCAGTGCTGCAGGACTGCTGCTGCCTGTGAGTACTAAATTGCAAGTTTCTGCCGGTATTCCTTGGGCAGGAGGAGCAGCAGGAGCGCTGCGGAGTTATCCTGCATCGCTCTCCCAGCATCTCTAGTAACGGGGCTCACTTTGGGAAAGGTGAGCAAACACAGTCCACTTTGTCTCAGACCTCTTTCAGTAGAGAAAGCAAGTGATGGTGCTGCTTGTAAAATAGATTTATTGTAGTCCACCAGTACTGGAAATATCAACACCTAGAAACTCTCCTAGAGACTAAACAAGGACCCAGCTCAAACGAGTGACCTGCATGCAAATCCCGCAGCCCTTCGTCGAGCTGTTTTTCAGACCTCAGCCCTTCAGATCCCGTTCAAATCCCAGTGCAAGGGCAGCATGTTTAGTTATTCTGTTCAAACCTCCCTGCCACTCCTGGCTGTTTTGTCCTTGCTGTGCTGAAACAAACCTGCTCGAGGGCTCCAGCCCCATTACGAGGACAAAAGGACATCAGAAGTACTGCTACTGAAGGGAAATGTGTCTCGTTTTGAAGTATAATGCAGAATGGGTGGCTTTGAAATTCCTGAATTGGCTTGCTCCCTTCAAAAGGGGTCTTTCTGGATTTTTTTTTTTTTTTTTAGCTTCCCTAAAATGCAGCTTGTGACATTGACTTTGGGATGAGGATACATGCTGATGCTGGGAGGATTAATGCGGAATGTGAGAATCAGCGGATGACAATAAACAGCCAATTCTCAGGGAAATTATTTTCTGAAATGGAATATTTAACACATTGACACTTGTGGGCTTTTTCCTGTTTTTAAAGGGGCACTGTGAACGCATACTAGAAAGTGTCTGTGTTACTACCAACACCTTAATTTATGATTAACTTGGAATAGTTTTACATCTCATTTATTCCTTCCATGGGGGTGTTCTGAGCTGCTGAAATTACTTGATCAGCTTCGCTTTCTCTGTTTTGTTTGTTAGTTTAGTGCCATGAACAGATTTGGGATGGGAGCTCAGAAGTTCAGAAAATAAAGGGGGGGATTCAATCTTGGAGGGTTTTAAAACCCTTTGGTTCTCCTTGGCACAAAACAGATGTCTTAGGATTCCTCTGATGTCTCCATAATGTCTAGAGCTTAAAATGTCCATCATAAAGCCATCAATATTCCTGTAAGAATCTCTTGCTGAATGTTTTTTCAATCGAAATGCGTTGTCTTTGGAGAAGACTAGCAGAGGAGGTTTTGACGTGGCCCACAGCTCCAGTAGTGCTTGGTTTTGAATGCCAGTAAGCAGAGGGAGGTAAGTAAAGAATGAGAGGACCAACAGTATAAATCTCTGCCTAGTCTCTTATTTTGATCCCACAGCACTGACCCTGTATCAGCTACTTGGGGTCAGAGCCCTGCCCTGCGTGATCCCAATGTGCACTTTGTGTCAACTGTACCTTCCAAGGAGGGTGAATCCCTGCTGCTGTGGCATCAGAATGTTGAGGGGGTCCAGGGCAGATGGGGATATCGGGGAGGCCTGAAACAGCTCCAGGATGCAGAGATGGCTTGATGGAGAACGTGGACAGAGAGGAAGGGGAAGAGAGCAGTGAGGAATGGATAGCAGAGGAAAGGAACGTAATTATGTAGATCTGGAGGTGAAGGTCAAAGGCTCCATGTGACTGCTGCGTGGTGGCTGGTGTTGGGTTTGGGTTTTTTTAATGTTTGTACGTGTTGTTGTAAACAGCCCCAGGCTGATCTAGAAGTGCTGGGGGGCAGAGGCTGTAAATTAAAGAGGTTGTTCTTACAAAGAGAGCGAGCAGCTTGGAGGCATTCTGCATGCTTGTTCTTCCATTGTTTCTCCATTCATTTAAGTTCCTTGTATTAGGTCTGACGTAGAGTCTCGCTTTCTAATGGAGCAGGGGCGGCGCTGGGCGAGCCGTATGGAATACCTGT